AAACTTCAAACACAATGAATGTCACAAACATCTGCAATAGCTTCTGCTCTGAGCGTGAAGCCCTTTAAAACTGAACTGATTTGAACATTTCTGGCCCGAGGAAAAGTCTATGACACTCTAGAAATAAATACAAAGTAGAGTTCAAGGCAAACAGAGAATGTGTCTATTTAGGCCCCTTTTCCTGGACTGGTGGGGTGTGTGTGGACTCGGAGCTAACACCCCATCCCAGTCCTCAGTGCTGTATGTTCTGGAAGGACCAGCATACACGGGGACTACTCGGGAAAAGGGTAGAAAGGCTGAACAGGGTCTTTCTCTCTCATTCACAGGGCTTCAGGGAATTAACTGTTTTCTATGGTTCTTGATTTTCTCATTTGGGAAATGGGGAATATATGTAGCATATTTTGCAAATCTGCTGTTTGGCAAATGTGCTAACACAAAAACAAGGGCTATGTAATTCTGTCTTATTTTGCCCATCAAACCCCACCTAAGTTCTATTTTCCAATTTTGCTAGCTTCTAAATTTATTCACAGTGCCATCCCTGGATAAAAACACACTCGAGTGTGTTCACCCATCTCTGATTAACTGTCACAGAATCACTTTCGATGGTATTGATTTCGAGGTCTTTCTTCTCAACCTTACAGGGTCCCTTGTGACCCTTTTTTACATCTAGGACACAAATATGTCCTTTGTTCCCTGTTGATATTTTAGATCATAGCTTCTGGTCCATGGCTTCATCTTTTGAATGGTATTTCAGTAAGAAATACAATACAGGCAGCACTCAGTCTGTTTTATTCTTTGAATTATTTTTGCTGTATGTGAGGCTGCCTTTATTTCTTCCCTATAAAGCATGTACTGCTCTTTGAGGGGATTTGGGTTGCATTAGCTTAAGAAGCGACAATACTCACACAATACAGCTTTTGACACTTGGTAAATTCTTTCTTTCCTGTGTTTTAACCTTTAACCAGACCATCAGATTAATATTTTTGATATGAATCCTTTTCCTTTTCCTTTTCCTTTTTATTTTCACGGTAATATCCTTACAATGCTGCAATCATAGGAAGGGAGAAGCAGGCCACTATTATTACTAAAACTCAAGAGCATCTAAGGCATGGAGTTATTGGAAGAGGGTAGGTGCTGGGAAGGGAGAACCACTCTTTTTTGATGATGCAGTCAGAGGGAGTTTGCCCTGGCTCCAATGGATGGCCCCACACCATGCCCATGAGGGCAACAATGACTGGATTTAGTGGGTTCTTAAAAAAAAGGACATAATTTTGAGAAATGAGGTATATTGGGGAATATGAGAAAAATTGGAGAGGATAGATAAGGGGTATATATATTTCATTATACACATGTATGAAATTCTCAAAATAAAGAATGAATTTAAAAAAATCAAGGGTGCTTATGAATGACAGATCAAAACATAAATACAAACCAAAAGAAAGAAGAAAAAAATCTCCTTTTTTTATTTTAGGATTTGGTTCATAATAAATAGGAACAAAGAAAAGCCAGGTGCCCCCAAATATAGTATGTAAATGAAATCCTTGTATTTTACGTATGTAAGAGCATTAGATCTAGTCTAGTTCTCTACTGATCTACTGGCAACTTGTGATTGGGTAGGCTCGTTAACTCTTGTCAGGTTGAGCTTGCCCATATTGAGGAAGAGTCATTAATGAAAACTATCTCTGCTAATACAGGAAACAGAGTGTGCACCCTATTTTCCCTCAGTTCAGTGAGTGGCACATAGGAGCTGCTTAATGAGAGAGAAGCATCTCTGTGTGGACTGTGAGTCAATGTATATAGGGACCATTTAATTCAAATGTTTATTTGATATTATACAGCGTCATAGTTACCTTTAACTCTCAACTTGACACAAATCTAGAGTCACCTTGGAGCAGGAAACCTCAGTTGAAGAATTGTCTAGATCAGACAGGCCTGCGGGCATGTCTCTAGGGCATTTTTCTAACAGATAATTGATAAGAAGGCCCCAGATACTGTGGGTGGTGCAGGCACTGGGCAGGTGGGACTGAGTAGTAAGGCTGCCGAGGAAGACAGAGGAAGCAAGTCAGTAAGCAACATTCTTCCATGGTCTCTGCTTCAGTTCCTGCCCTGTCCCTGATTTCCTTCAGTGACGGAGTGTGACCTGCGAGCTGGGAGAGGAAACACCGTCTTTTCCTCCCCAAGGTGCTTTTGATCATGGTGTTTATCACAGAACGCAAAATGGAGCGTACAGTAGGCTGGAATTTACAAGATCTGAACTAACAATTTTGGAGCTACTAGTTACTATGGAAACAGGTGGACAGAAGGATAAATATGGGAAAAATTGTCAACACAAATTATTACTCTTTCTAGGCTAACGAAGTATGTTTGCATATTAGACTGAGATAATTTAAAATGCAATGTCATAAAATATGTTCTGCTGTGGTTATATTATTAAAGGACACAATTTTATTTCTTTTCTGACTAGTTGTTCCTGCCCATATGGTGATGACATTACTTTCTGTTTGATTGATGACCATGTTGGCTTTGGCACAAGACAGAACAAATGAAAACACAGTGTATTATATGTAACCAAGCTTCAATGTTTCTCAGATGCTAGAGCCCCGGGGTTCACCAGACATGTCTACCCAAAGGTGCATGCAGCAGCAGCAGTCAGGGCTCCAGGAAATTCAGAGTCCTGGTGTGTGGGCTCTAGGCAGACACCTAGCTCTCTCGCTCGCTGTGTGAGGCACAGGCATGAAGAGAAGAGCCAGAAGTCCCAGGTATTCATTGGCCTGGAGTTGGGTTCTAACAGTCCCCCGCTCCAGTAAGTGTCCTACTGTTCAGGTACATCACATTCTGAGTTCATCAAACAGCCTAGTCCCCAGGGAGAGACACTGCAGGACACACTCAGTCATTCTGCCGGAAACGTGTGCCCTCGGGCCCATAGTAGGGGTGCTGGAACCATAGAAGCAGTCCAGACACACTGACTTGATGCTTGAGGATACAGAGACACAGTGGCCAGTGAGCGTGACTCAGGTATACAATGAGGTCTAGGTCTCCTCTCTGTGTCAGAAATCTGTCCTTCAAATATGTCCAAGTTTCCATGCTCCTCATGTTGCACCATAAAAATATACAAACGCCAACATTTTGGTGAACCTGCGATATCTACATTTGCAGTCAAACTGGACACCATGCAACTACTGCAACCTTCACAAGGCTCCTGCTTGGCTTCCCTTTGCAGGCCTTTCTGAGGATCAATCTGTCTGTCAGTGTCATCATTGGCATCAACTTACAGTGAGAGCGCTCTACACTGTTTCTGAGGTCTTCGGTCTGAAAGTGTTTAAAATGCAGGTATTTGGTTGACTCAGGACACTTCTTTCATAGTTTTCTACAGGAAATGTTACATGCAAAGGCAGAGCCCACACCGACGGCACAACACCGACGGCGCAAGAGGCAGCAGGAAAAGTTGAGTTAGTTCAGCAAGAGTGAAGGTTTTCAAAACATTACATATGTTAAGTCTTCAGAGATTTGCATTTATGTATAATAACCAATTTTAAATTTTAGCACCTGCAATGAATTCTATGTATGTATGTAAGTATCTATGCATGTATGTATGTATGTATGCATGCATGTATCTATCTATCTATCTATCTATCTATCTATCTATCTATCTATCTATCCATTCATCCAAATTACTTATTCTATATGAAGGCTTTTCATGGTCTAAAGTGAGCTCAGGATTACTAATGCACTTGGTTAATAACACTACAATAACTTAACAACTGTGAAGGAGAAGAAAACTACTTGCAAATCCTAGCAAGGAAAGACTACTTGTCTGACCTAAGACCTGATACAGTGCCTCGTAACCTTCTTGCTGTCCCCAAAGTCCCATTGGCTCTCTGGAGTTGTTCTGGTTATATATTTCACAAAACAAGCTTTACAGGAGCATAAAAGACATTGGTTAGCCCCAGGAAACAAGGGGTGGAAGTATCAAAAACCTGACTGCAGAGGCCACTAAGAGAATGTCAAGTCAGCACTTCCCACTGTGAACTTCTCCACCCTACACTCTCTCCGTATCTCATCCAGACTGTGACCAGCATGGAGAAGGCAAGCAAGGCGAGCTACCAGCCATATTTGGTGCTCAGCTACCCCAACAGAAAAAACAGGGTGCACGACAATGGGCCTTTAGAAAAGAGCACATGCCAAAGAAATTTTATTTAACATTTTAAAGTGTTAAAAGAAATATGAGCTGCTAAGGCAGAAGGAAAACAGAACCATTAACTGGTCTTTCACTTCTTCTGCTCTGTTACCAGTTCACCTTGACAATGGTGCCAGTTTCTCCGTCATCAACCAGTGTCACAACCACATTGCATTCTGTGTGCCTGGGACCCCAGCACAGGGTAGTCATTCCTTCCCTCAGAACGAGTGGGGTGATGAAAGTTTGCTAGGGGCAAGATTTTGTCGCAGCTCTATGTTTAGAATTGGAAGATTCTTCAGTTTATTCCGGATGCGAATACTTAATTCAAGTACTTTAAATTTCCGTGATGCCCTCCACTTTCTCATTAACATGAACACTTGCACACCCTCTAGAGTTTCAGAGCCTTGGGGACCAGAACAAAACAGATCTAGTAATTAAGGAGCATTTGATGTTTATAAAACATATAGTGTCTGCAACAGATTTGATATTTAAAAAAGAGTTGGTGTATGATATCACCAAAACAAACAAAAAACCCCACAAAAACAAAAAACAAAACAAAAAATAGAGCATTAAGTGTTTCCCCATTTCATGTCTATACAACATGCAGATTTGCAGACCTTCCAGTGTAAAAAACATCCCGTGTTGTCGGTGGATCAAATGCGAGCATAGTCCCTAGTGTGTGCAGACTGCCTGGTGTTAGTGTCTATCAGGAATGTGGAGCATCTCGTGTGCTGGAGCATCTGGCATGAATAGACCATCCAGAAGGTTTCAAGTCGGGGTCCCCCGCTCTGGACTGTGGATTGGGAGTGAGGCGGTGACTTACCACATTACATCCTGCACAGTCAGGCCCATTCTCACAGGTCCTACGACGGGCTTGAATGCCACCCCCGCACTGGGCCGTGCACCGCTCCCAAGGTCCCCAGCCTGTCCAGAACACGTGCGGTGGGCAGAGCAGATGTTCATTGCAGTATCTGTGAGAAGGAAACCCAGAGGAAAAGGAGGCTGTTTAGTGCCACAGGAGGCCACCAGACATGTCGCTTCCCAGCCCTGTGCCGGATGTCGGACAGATGGGCATGCTCTGTGTGAGGGGCCTTCTCTGTGTCTGGAGTGCTTGCGCCATACAGGAGGCAGAGGGGTGCTGGCCATGCTGAGTGTGCACAGACAATGGGAGACATGGCAGACAGCGAGGAGAATGCTGAACTCACAAGGCAGGGTGGAACTTCCTGTGCAGCCAAGTAAAGGAGAAACAAGACAGAACAAAACCTTCAATAGACACCCCAAAACAGGAGCAAACAGAAAATATCTAGGTAGGACATTTATCTGCTAGGCATAAACATCAAAATGTGACGTAGATTATGAATGCAAAGGCAGCACAGCTTTACTCGGAGTTTGTCTTTCAGTCAAGTAAGCTGACGGCTTCTGAAGACAAAGCCTTAAAGCATAAGCTTGGCCCGAGGGCCTGTGACACTTGCTGCTTAGCTGACGCTTTTAGGTTTTTCTTTTAGGTTCTCAGAACAACTTGAAGTGATTTCCCATTAAGGGAACACAGATATCTGGCGACTCTACTTTTTACAAAGGTTAGAACTATTTTAGAGTAGCTAATTTCCACACTTTTACACATACATCCATGTTGCCAACTTGAAGTTAAGCACCCCAGCTCGTCTCTGGCTCTGTGATGGCTTAAGTTTTCTGAAGTCTTGAAAGCTGTCTATGAAATGGAGTGAAGTGAAGGGGACAAACAAGCACAGGAGGAAAATGGACTGGTGTTCTAAGTACTAGCACCTACGAAGGAAGAATTTAACCAAGAATGCGGCAAAATTTAATGACAACCTGGGTGATTTCCAGGATGATTTACATTCATTTGTCCATCTACTGAATCTAAACTTAGTCTCTCAGGAGTCTCAAACTAAAAGACTTCCCCCCGCCCCACATCTTTCTCATTCTCAAGGCCAACTTCCTTAAGAAATAGGCCACAAAGATTCAGTCCTATAGGCTGAAGTCCATGCCCTTCACGTCACCCTTGTTGACAACTGGATTCTGGAGAGTGCTGTGCACAGGGAGTCACCGAGGGATTGCTGAATAGCTGCTCACAGTCTCAGATGAATAGAGAAATCAGACACACTCTCCGAATGTGCACAGCGTAAGGCAGCCTTAATGAGTCAGGGTGATACCTTTATCATTTACTGCACACACTGAAACTGCACTTGATACACCAATTAAAATGCATTCTGAGGTAGAAAAGAAGAGAAATGGTGACCAGAAACCACGAAGGGAATTGGGCAATCACTCAGCAGATGCTCTGGTAAGGTTCAGTTGTCTTCCATCACACAGATAGGAACCTGATAAAAGCCAGGAGACTTTGGGAATGAGTTCAGCGTGTGAGGAGCAAAGGCCAGGCTGGAAGATGATGGGGTATGAGGTGTAAGGAGTACTAGCTGGGGTTTCGGATGTGAATTAAAGGCAGAAAGGGAGAATCGAGCCAGAAAGGTAGCCGTGTTGAGAGGAGAACAGAAAGAATGGCATGAGCTAGAAAGATGATCCGCCTTTGCCAAATCGTAAAAAACTAAGGAAGTCTCATAGAACTCCACAGGGAAACGGCACCGTCAGAGCGAGACTGGAGTCTCATGCCTGGCACCTCATCCCACTGCTGGCAAAACCCCAAGACTTGAGAAACTTTCTTAGCCCATTCTGGAGTCTGAATCTAGGGGAGGTCACAAGTAGGAAGAGGCAAAGTAAGAAACACTAACCATTGGAGTCTGGATGCAGCCAAGAAAATGAGACACACTATGGGTGAGAAAGGATGGCGGTGGAGAGACAGGTGTGTGTGTGTGTGTGTATGTGTGTGTGTGTGTGTGTGTGTGTGTGTGTGTGTGTGTGTGTATGTGAATGAATGGCACTGGACGTGATGGAAACATCATAAAGTTACTGTGTGATGCACAGAATAATCAGGGAGTCCAGAGCTAGCAAGTGCTCCAGGGAGAGGCAGTGGGCAATGTCATGGCTGAAGGAGTCTCGAGATCCTCAAGTACTACCCACGCAAGCAGGTTAGCGTCTCCAAACGTTGACATACTGCATTTGTCACTCTTTGTCTTTTTAGATAAAGTTCACCATAGAAAGGTGTGTGGTATTGCTCTCAAGATGGCAGCACACACTGCTGATGCCTGGGCTCTTTGGGCCAAAGCCACGGGATACTCTTATGTGTCCACCTGGAGAGGGAGGGGTCATGTAGACAGGGGAGAGAGAGACAGAGGGAGACAGAGACATACACACAAGAGAAAGAGAAAGAGACAGTGAGGGAGATACAGAGACAGAGAGAGATAGGTAGGCACACAGAGACACAGAGATAGAGAGACACATAGAGAGACACACACACAGAGAGAGAAAGACAGGGAAAGCATAAAAATGAGCTAAAAGTAGCAAGTCTCTTCAGAGGTCTGGAGTTACAGTAAGTAAATATTCATGTATATGTTGCTGCTTGGAGAGTTCCAGGAAGGAAATGCTATTTATTTTGAGAACAGGTTTTGAGAAGATGAGAAAATTCAGAACATTTCACATTTAATTCAAAATCTACACATATAACTCACAAGAGGGAGAACAAGAGAAAAGAAGACATCTCCCATTTACGGGCTGACTCGCTGACGTTTTAAACGGACAGGTCCTTTACTCTGCTTTCCCCTAGTTTCAGTTTCAGCGAAGACAGAAACTATGGGTACTCACAGGCAGGCGCACGCTGACACACACGCATGTACACACACATGCACACACGCGTGTGTGAATGCACACACACACACACACACACACACCAGAGAAGGCAAAGGAAATCCCACTAAAAATGCCTATAAAACCCTTGACTTTTAATGAAGAACACAGTGGCTGTGCTACCATAGCCCCAGAGCCAAATGAATCAGCCTGCACAAATCCTTTCTTGTATTCGCCTGCAGCAGCAGGCCACCTCGGAGAATTCTCAGCATGTTATTACAGTTTAAAGTCTCCTGCAGGTGACTTGTGCATGGAACACTGGACTTTGAATCAGTGTTAATCAACTATCCCTTGGGCTGGGACTTAAGGCCACCAACAACCCACCTCACCGTTTCTCTCTCTCTCTCTCTCTACAGTTCTCCGTTGAAGCAAGCTACATGGAGGTTTGAAGAGGTGATAGCCTATAACAGGAATGGTCAGAGAGAAGCAGAAACGACTGGGCTATCCCTCTATTCAGAATTCGAACTGAGTGGGGTTGGTTAGAGTTTGGACCCTGCTCAGGGCCTCGGTCTGGATCCTCTTCAATGATGAGAAACATTTTCTTCCGGAGCCCCTTTGCCTAACCCACACTCCAACAGGCAGCCTCCTTAGAGAGCTGTGTAAGCAGCAGCAGTGCAGCTATCTCTGGCTGCTTAGATAGTTACTAATTATGGATAAATATTTGCCCAGTGGGCCAACATTTGGGTCCCATTTCACCAGTCCTCTGGATTTAAAACAACATGCTAATGTCTTCAGCATATCATTGGCTCTTTTGGGTATTAAGGGTCTGAAAACATGACCACAGATACATTTTGCGATGTATTAAAAATTAAGATTTTAATTTTTCTCATGACTGCTGTTGTTTTACATTTAGAAACTAACTAATAACCTCACACTGTCTCTCTATAAATCGTCCATTTTTCCATATAGAAACTAACTAATAACTTCACGCTGTCTCTCTATAAATCGTCCATTTTTCCATAAACCAACTTTCTCTAAACATACGGTATTCTATAATCCCACCGAGGCTCGACTACAGCACCAACTTCATCTTCTCATGTTTCCTTCTAATCTGACTGAGCTCGTTCCTCACAACAATCTGTCAGCTCCACCCCGCTGAGGCCTATGAGGGAACTGCTTTTCTTGGTTCACATTTCCTTGTTATCCCTTCACAGGCCCATCCTGGAGAATGAAGTCCTTTATGGCACCAGAGAACCCGGCATCCACTGAACACACCATGAGGTTTAAGACAGCACACAGGAGAGAATAGTAACTTCCGTAGTCAGCATCGCTTCAGTCATCACAGAACAATAGCATTTCCGATAAGAATAAGACACATTCTCGTTCGTCCCCGAGACCTTGAGAACATATTGTGCAATCTCTGAGAGGAGCCCAAGCTCTTTACCCTTCAGAACTCACAACTCATGTGCCCCCCGAATGTGGGTGAGCCTTGTCACTCACAGGGATCAAGTCAGGCAGATGTTACTTCCAGTCATGTCACGTAATGTTGTCATAGCTTCATTTCAGGAATGCTCCCCTTACCGACTTCAAGGAAGCAGACAATAGGGTGCAACGTGAATTCTAATTGTTCATAATAAATATTCAGAGTCAGCTATCAGGGAGTGAAAACAGAAGCATCAGAGAAGGAGAGCGGTCAGTCACTAGAGCTCTTACCTCTACCAAAGCTCAGACCAAAGGGGAGATCCTGTCCCTAGACTGCCTTCTCAGACCAACTGCCTAAGTCTGTGCTGCTCCTCAGACGCACTGAGCTCCTGTCTCCTCCTGCCTTCCACCCAACCATATCACTCCTGTCTCTACCTCCCTAGTGCTGGGATTAACGGTGAGTGATCCTAAGTGCTGGGAACACCTTTGTGTGAGTTCTCTTTCTCTTTTAGAGTGGATCTAATTTGTGTAGCCCAGGGTGGCCTTGAACTAACAGAGATCTGTCTGCCTCTGTCTCCCAAGTCCTGGGATTAAAGGAGTGTGCCAACATTCCCTGGCCTCTAGTGGCTTAGCTCTGCACTCTGACCTTCAGGCAAGCTTTATTTGGTAAAACACAGACCAAACATCACTACAGTGGGATAAGTCAAGGACCTGACAGTGGCCTCAAATTCAGATACACCGAGAAACTGAGGCCCTCATCCTGACAGCCCCACCAGACACGAAGGCTGCCCATAATAATACAAACAAGGACGCAGACCCTGGTCCCGGTGTGCCTCAGAATATAAGTCAG